CAGAGCTCTGGCAGGTCATGCCATCTCTAGGGGCCTCAGTTTCCTCTGAGAGCAAATGGAAATATTAGCTTAGACTCATTGTTTTTCCAAATTATTTTAGCTGTGGAACTCTTTCTTCAAATAATATGTTTGTAAAGCCATAAAGCATCCCACTAGTGCAGGGGCTTGATTTCAAATCAGATCAGGGCTATATTGGCTGCCCCCAGTGGCCCCACCCCCATTCAGCCTTCCACCCACACTTCCATGAACATTGAAAAGGAGCTGGGAATATTGTTTGTAAATTGTCTCGACTACACAACTCTTTTTCAATTTTTCTGAAGTTCAGAGAAGTAACTAATGTTGCACAGAGCCACCCAGCTGGTACAAAAAGTGAATTTGTGATCCTAAGGCAGGTCTGTAACTCTGCCATGTAGCCCTGGGAACATCAACTTGCATACTCTGTCTTATCAGGCTAAAGCTGCTTAGGAGATATATTTACATTTTATCAGTCAGGGTTACCTAAGGCATGTCCTATATACCCTTAGGTTCCAGAAAAACAGTTCCTGATTTTTCCCCCCAGATATTCTTTCCTTTTACTCTGGGACTGTTGATTAGAGAGTGGTCTCTATTTAATCTGTGAGACTGTCAGAAAATAAAAAAAAATAATAACTTTTCTCATAAGTCAAAGGCTTCCATTTCTCTGAAGATGCAGAGCTGGCAGCCTTCTCTTCCCTATTCTTTTCCAGGCTGTGGAAGGGCCTTTGGGCTCAGCTGTTATGTTCATTTTTGTTATAAGAAGGCAAAACAATGTCAAATATGAGTAATGACCTGGGATGAAAAATTTGCTAAGATGGACACACAGGTCAGACAGGCCAGTGCAGATTCCTGAAAGTACCAGCTCTGCTTACAAGATGGATAGGTTGCCCTCTGCCTCAGCACTCAGCAGCCCCAGGGCACCCACTATCCTCTGGTCAGAGAAAAGAGGTCCACTGCAAGAAATGTTGGAAGTAACTTGACTTCTATTTTTCAAGTCATTCATGCCATGATCCTAAGTTATATTGGCAGACTGGAAATGTGACCAGCTGCTGGTTCTGGCCTCTGGGGCTGTGGCTGGCTGTGGCAGTCTACTGCCATCGGTTCCAATGAGTTAAGCTATGTTTCTGTGTTATTTATTCCTCAAGATCCCTTATTGACAAAAGGACTTTTTTTTTTTTTTTGTACAGATTGACTGTCTGTCTCTCTGATGCCAAATACCCGAGTCCCAATTTCAAAAATTTGATCTGTCTGCCTTCCTTCAACATATGCATATTGAATATCTATCTATGCTTAGTATAGAGACACAGCTGTGAAGATGGCACTAAGTCCCTGCCTTTGTGAAACTTGTTGTATTGTAAGATTCAGGAGCTGGAAAATATGGTGACCTTTCACTGGCCTCACTGGCCAGACTCTTCCAATGGCCAGTGAATCCCATATTGTAGCAATTTAGACTGAATACTTTCCTTTAGTTTCTTCTTTTTAAGTTTCTAAAGTACTTGCTGCTAACAGCTGCTAACACAGTGTGAACCTGGAGGTTAAACTTAAGCTCTAAGTACTCATTAGACATACCCTAATGGGGCAGCTCTGCATTCTGACCACACTTGCTGTTAATTCTAATGCATTTCACTCAGGGCCAATGGAGGGCCTCTTCAGTTGGTTGTTTCCTTTTCCCTTCTTGGAACAACTTTCTTTTCCTTCCAGGTCGTGTTAGGGCTTTTGTCTTCAAGGAGATTTTTGCCTGCTACTGTTTTACCCCAGGAGGCTGGTAATAGGTCTAGTTTAATTTTTTTTTTTTGTGTGTGTGTGTGTGGGGGGGTTCTTTTCTTTCTTTCTTTCTTTTTTTTTTTTTTGTCTTTTCTTTTTTGAAACTAAGGGATTCAACCTAGAACTTTGCAAGCATGAGGCAAGTGCTTTGCCGCTGAGCTACATCCCAGCCCTAGTATATCCTTTTTAAAATTTGACTTTTTAATATTCAAAAACACTATCAGGAGGGCTTAAGAAATCTTTCAATTATGGAGAAATTTATACAAAAGGGGACTGAACTGTGTGATGAATTACTAACCCTTCATCCAGCTCCAGTTGCCCTCAACCATGGCCAGTTCTCCTTGTCTATACCCCCATCCACTCCCTCTGCCCTGTGTAAAGAAATAAATATGTCATAAATATTTCAACATGTTTCTCTCAAGATAGACTGTTTCTAAATATCATCACAATACTTTTATCATGTATCAGTTATTATTTATCTTACAGAGAGATATTTTAAAGGCTATAAGAGGAGAAACATTCAGGTATAATGTTGCCAAACATTAGCTCTTTTAATTTTTTCCTGTGTTCTCCAGTTTTTGACCACAAGCATACTGATGTTTTGTAAAACTGATGGATAGCAGTCTCTGCTTTTGGGGCACTTTTTTGGGTATACATTTTGTGATTGGGGCAAATGTCAACTATCTACCCCTCCAACTAAGAGGAACAAAGGTGTTCCCTTCAGCTGTACCATATTTATATTCTGAGGACGATTTCCCATAACCTCTTCTATCTTTTAAAGCTTCCTACGTATTCAGAAAATATTGAAAATTGAAATAAAAATCATCAATTCAAAAATAACACTTTGATTTTTTTGCCCCCCTTTCCCCACCTGCCAAAATTTAGAGTACAAAAGAGTATAAAGGAAAAGTGGTGTTCTGAATTAAGAGGAAATTGTCATTGAAGGTTTGCACTGCATCTTTCTAGATGTTTTACACATAAGTGCACATATTCCTAAAACAAACAATAGGAATGTGCCATTTACTATTTTTCACTAAATGCATCTTCAGTATCATTCTGCGCACACAACTTTAGATCCAGGCCCTCTCAGGCAGAGTTCCATGGAACTGTTGTTATTGGTATTGTGTTTCCTGTCTTGATGGTGGCACCCATGTCCCCTCCTGGAAGACAGAATCCAGCTACCTGAGTTTTCCTGCATGCTGGTCCACCTCTGAGCACCTCTGCTTTGTGTGACTGCATCTCACCAAAGCCTCAGGTTCTCATGAGCTTGTTTTTCAAGAACTGGGTGGAGCCCATGACTGAAAGAACATGTTTTTATTTCCTGGTATGTGGGGATTTTCAGTAGAGCTTTTCCTCTTCCTAATTATGTGCCTAGTACATTGGGGATCTTACTGCTGACTCGCCATCCCACAGAGAACCATTAAACAGCTGTTCACCTGAATTTATGAACAAATTTTGGGGCAGCAGCAGTGCCTGCAGGATCTAGTTGCCAGGGACACGTGTGCATTTACAAGGAGCAAGGACAGAGTGTACCAGACTCTCGGATCTTCTCCCAAGAATGTGCAGAAGAAGGTTGGGAAGTAGTGAATGTGTTTTCTCTCTTTTTATAAAACTTATTGTTAAAAAAAAAAGAGAGAGAGAGAGAGAAATTATACAAATAATATGGAAGTATGTAAAGAAAAAAACAAAAGTAATCCTGCTCTCCAGTGTCCCTGTCCAGCCCCACTGTCCCCTCATCAGAGGTCAATAGTATTAATAATTTGTCATGTATCTTTCTAGGCTTTTTAAAAATTTTACAAACTTCGAATGGGATCATTAAAATCCTCATTGTTCTGACACAATAAATGATATTAAATGCAAATTTTGGTTTTGTATGTCAAAAAATACATTGCAAAGATATGGAAAGAATCTATGCAAAGGTGGTTGAGGAGCTAGTGGGAGAGTGGGGTTGCCCTGATAGGTTTCCTGCCTCTGCTGGTGTCATGGTGGTAAGAGGATCAGCCCAGGAAAAATGAGGAGGAAGCTGTTTTTTTTTTTTTTGTTGTTGTTCTGGGGATTGAATCCAGGGGTGCTTAACCACTGAGCCACATCCCTCCCCCCTTTTTTTTTCCTTTGAGACAGAGTCTAGCTAAGTTACTTAGGGCCTCACTAAGTTGCTGAGGCTGCCTTTAAACTTGTGATCCTCCTGCCTCAGCCTCCTGAGTCATTGGGATTACAGGTGTGCACCACCATGCTTTTGTGAGGGGGCTGTCTTATCATTGTAGTCCCAGTCCTTGGTCTGGGTTTCTTTCTTGCCTCTGTCCCTTCCATGTTGTAGAGGCCCCCACTCTGTCCCTCTACATCTAGCATACCCTACAGTACAAGGGGATGTACTTAATGTCAGACAAGATAGGCTTGAATTTACTTTTAAAGAACATAAGTTATTTGATCTCTCTCAATACCAGTTTTCTCAGCTAGGAATAAGAGGAAAATTGCTGTGACAGAGTGCTTATGAACGTTAATCTAGCAGATGGTCGGTACTCAGCCAACCTTAATTCTCCTTTTTCTTGCTTCCTGAGTCTTCTTCCATAAAGGTGTATTAAGACTTGGACATGTTATCCTTTCTTAAAGGGATTTGCATTTCAACAGTGATCAAAGCTTTAACTGAAGGAATTAAGGATCCATCAGCAGGAGTAGGAAGATTCTTTTGGACTGGAGTCACATGGCCTGTGCTTGCCTTTTCAGAAATATTTCATGAATGATCACTAACCCCACCTTTTTTTCTCAGAAGTTGGCTCCAAGGGTAAGCCCTACCCTCGGAAGACAATTTGGCTGACTGATGACTGCTAACCTCAACCTCCTGCATTTTAGGCCATGTATTTAGTGATGCACCTAAGTCATAAAAGGAACTAGTGTCATAAGTGTGAGGTTTCAAACACTTCTTTGTGTCATAACCCGAGTTCTTCTGGCACCTTGTGAGAATTGAAAAAGGGCGTCCCCCTCTGGGAAGGCGGGACTGTGCAGATGCACTCTTGAGGTCAGTGGACAAGGGCCTCTATAGAAGTTAGCCAAAGATGTTCTTCCTCTAGGGTAGAGGGAGGCCCAGCCCAAACTGGGAGCCCCACCCACCCCTGTTGCCAGGCAGCTTTGTGCACAATCTGCATTACCATACAGTGGGCCCATTATTTAGCCATTTTCATGAGTTTTTTGTTTTTTTTTTCTGTTTTCCTGCTTTCTTTTAGCCTCCTGAACTAAGCAATGGAGAACCTACCAGGAAACTTCCTCAGGGTGTTGTTTATGGTGTGGTGCGAAGATCCGATCCAAATCAGCAGAAAGAAATGGTGGTGTATGGGTGGTCCACCAATCAGCTGAAAGAAGAGATGAACTACATCAAAGATGTGAGCCACTGAAGGCTTTTTTGTTTTTCTGGTCTATTTTCCTTTTATAACATGTAAGAGGGCAGAGTTGGAAACATTGATGTGAATATAATAAGGCATTTTGTAAAAATTCATAGTGTAATTTTAAATGGAAATGTTTCTACATATCTTCGTGGTAATGTTAAAAGCACAGATGTCATTCTGCATGGGATACATATTACTAAATGAGGATCCTAGGAGACCCATCCAGGCTTCCTTTTTCCATATATGGTATGAAGACTCTTAAGAGCTTTTGTTTTTTTACGTTGGACATGCCTAATGTATAAGTTTGGACAACTCCATGACTTTGGATGCTTTAGAATACAAGTAAGAGAAACGTCAACTCGGAAAGAAAATTGATCTCACATGGCAATGAGTCTGGAAGTAGCTGGACTCCAGGCTGGGCATGGCCAGGTGCTGGTTCTCCTTTTCTGTGTTCCCCATTGTTTTTTTCCTCCTCAGCCTTAGGCTTGGGGCATCTTCTGAAAATATGACAGTATCTGGAGGAAGGAAAGAGTCCACTCACTTGAGATACCTTTTGTATCCCCCCCACCCCTCCACCTCCAGCCATTAGATTTCCCCTTTTGTCTCATTCACTAGGGCTGGTCACATGCCTGATCCCAAAGCAATCCTGGCAAATGGACTAAGAGGATGTGGTGGGTTCAGACCAGTTATTTGAGTGAAATGAATGCTGGCAAATAAAGCACGGTAGACCATTGCCCAAACCAAGACAATCAATGCCATTTATTTGAATGCTTTATTTCTTATCTTTTTTAAGTTACAAATTCTTTTGAGAAAATTTGGGAAATTTGAAAATATATGAAGAAGAAAACAAAATCACTCATAATATTGCCAATTTAACCCGCATAGTTGTTAACATTTTGGAGCATTCTCACACATTTTAATGTCTATCTCTGTTTCTTTTAGCCCCACCCAGTATCCCCCTAGATTGACTCTGTGCTCCTATTGCCCAAACCACACTTATCAGATGAAAGAGGAAATGAGCTGCTCTAACACTGATGGGCCCCAAGCCCTGACCTGTGTGTGGCATGGAAAGTACTTGTGAGCAGCAAGGGCAGCAGAGTGCAGGGGAGGCTCCCATGCCTGTGAGTTCAGAGACCCTGCTTCCAGGTGGCCCAGCACATCACCTCTGCCTCTTTAGTCTTCTGTTTTCTCATGTGAAGGTTGTGAGGCTGTCCTTATTTCATTTAGTGGGTTTGCAGATGACATGCAAAGCCACTGTTTAAAAAAAATTTTCTTTTAGTTGTAGATGAACACCATGCATTTTATTTATTTATTTATGTTTATGCAGTGCTGAGAATCAAACACAGTACCTCATACATGCTAGACAAGTGCTCTACTACTGAGCTACAACCCTCACCCAAACACATGTATTATTGAATTTAAAAAATAATAAGTGCTTAGCAGAAAATGTGAGGAAAATCTAGAAAAGCAACACACACACACACACACACACACACATACACTGTGTGTGTGTGTCAACCACCTGCCTCAAATTCCCAGTTATTCTATCCACCAAAGACAATTTTTAGCCATGTGGATTATTTCATTCTTATCTGTTGTTGTTGTCCTCCTCCTCCTCCTCCTCCTCCTCCTTTTTGTAGTGGTAGATGGACAGAATGCCTTTATTTTGTTTGTTTTTATGTGGTGCTAAGGATTGAACCCATTGCCTCACACATGCTAGGCAAGCATTCTGCAACTGAGCTATAGCCTCTGCCCTCTTATGTGTTCTTAACATCTTGGGCATTCTAAGCCTCCTGTATTTTCCTGAAGGAAACACTTAGGTCTTTATCATTTATATGCTCCAAATAACATACTATTGCTTTAGAGGAAAGCCTTTTAAGCAAGGTTGCAAGTCTCAAATTGCCCAAGACAAAGACAGCAGGTTCAGGCTGATCCTTACCTGTGGGTGACACGTGCCAGAGTTGCAGGGCTGGCTCTGACCTGGAATTACTAGCCTCCACTGTGATCTGCAATGTAATGTTAATTTCCAGTCTCACCTTCAAATCCATCTCTGGCCTGGTCACTCCTGTGTATGTTTATGGGTTTGTTTACTCTCTCCCTGGTGAGCATGCTGGCTCTGTTGGCTTCCTCTGGTATTCTTTAGTGACAGAGACACCCAGCTCAAGATTTCACCACTCACCACAGGTGACAGTACGCAAGCCAGCTCAGGGCCACAAATGACAGTTGTTCCATCTGCCCACAATAGAAAGTCATGCTTTTGGCCTAATTTTCCCAATTTGTTTATAGTTAATAGCAAGAAAGTAGACCCTGTTATTAGCATTCATGGGGGAAGGCTTAGGGTCTTTCCTCCTTTCTGCCCCTAAATCACCACCAACCTACAGTGTAATTAAAATGCTGTGCTTCCTATTGGTTTTCTGAGGAGCTGCACACTGTTCTCCATGATGCCTGTGCTAACTTACTAACTACCTTCTCCGAAACAGTGTACACTAGTCCTTTTCTCCATGTCCTGTCCAGTATTTGTTGTTGTTTTTCATAACAATCATTCTACTAGGGGGAGATGGAATATTATTATACTTTCTATGTGCATTTACCTGGTGGTTAATAATACAGAATAATTTTTCATAAAAAATGTGCTTGCTATGCAAACCCACCTTCAAAATTGAGCCTCCCAGTTCTGTCCCTACACATGCACATTCTAGTGAGACCTGTTGCCCGTGAATCCTTCCTAAGGTAGATATTTTAGAGTGAGCCTGGAGGAAGATCCTTGAGACTTCCTGTCCTGTTTGAGGATTCCTGAGCACTTAGTCCATCTACAGGCATCAGAAGAAAGAAGGAAGCAGTGTCTGTTTGTGAGGTTTATTGTTTTGTTTAAAAATGTTTAAGGCCCTGGTGCTCTTCTGACAGTCACTACCGAGAACCTCAAATAGTGTTTGTGTGAATAGTGTTTGGGGGCCCCCTTCAACCTCTCTTAGACCTGGTGCCTCATGGATTATTGGTGATTATTGAGGAACCCACTTTGGATTTTATGGACCATTCAGCTATGTTTTCCTGTCTTCCATCTTCCATTAATTGCTTTTTGGCAATCAGAGCAGAAATAGAGAAAAATAGAGGTTTATGTTTGCCTTTTGGTGGTCCTCTTAGCTGTGCATTTACAGAATAAACTGTTGCAAAAAAAAAAAAACCAGAAAAACTTTCTACTCGTAAAAATATATATGTGATGGGAAAAGTCAGACCTTGCCCAAATGTAGTAGGAAAGTGATTGGTGAATTTCTAAAAACCATATTTTCCTTTAGATTATTATTTGGATATCTAATATTTCTTAATCATTATGTTATATATAAAATTTGGATTATTCTCTTGTTTTCTAACTAGGTTTTGGATCATCTTCTCTAATTCACTAGATGTCCTGTACTTGAAATTATTGTTATTATTATTATTATTATTATTAATGGAGCCCTTTATTCATTAGTGAAGTTTTGGATATCTTGCATGAAAATGTAAAAATGCTTGATGTTTAACACTTTTTGGGCTGCAGGTAAGAGCCACTTTGGAAAAAGTAAGGAAGCGGATGTATGGAGACTATGATGAGATGAAACAGAAGATTCGCCAGCTTACCCAGGAGCTATCAGTAAGTCCATATCTCAAGTCATGGCTGTTCTAAGGGATGGTGGAGGTTTCTCTCAGCAGCTGATCCCCAAAGATACTTGAGAATACAATGTTGTTGGTTTTTAATGGAGCCACATTCTAAACAAACTGAGGGAATTTTATCACAACTTAGACTTTATTATTTAAAGGAAACTTTTGTGGCAAGGGTATCTTTATATTTGAAGCATTCCCATTGAAGTCTATTCCTAATATTCCTAAACATTTATTCCACAGATAAACTCTGATCTGTGTGAGAAATGACTTATGGATGAACTTATTTATTGCAGCACTGCTTGTAAAAGTAAATGATTGGAAACTTAAACGTTCATTAAGAAGAGGAAAGTAGGGCTGGGGATGTGGCTCAGTGGTAAAGTGCTTGCTTGGCATGCATGAGGCCCTGGGTTCAAATCTCCAAGCGCAGCACACACACACACACACACACACACAAATATTGTATAAGAAGAGGAAAGTAATATATTATATATCTCCAACAGAAGACATATAACTGTAAAAGAAAAAAAGGAGTAACTAAACCCTTTGAAAAGAGATAGGGAAGGCCTTCAAGGATGAAGGGTCCATGATGAAAAATATAGGAAAAAAATCTGCATAACAAAATATCCTGTTTTATATAAAACAGGAGGGAAGAATACAAACATCAAGATTGTTTTCTATATGCACAAAAGTGACTAAAAGATAATCCAGAAAGTGATTATTCACAATGGCTCCTAACTGGAGGGCAGAGGAGGCCATGGAGTAACCTGGCAGATGTGACAGGAGTGAAAGGGGGATTTGTTTCAGTGTGTGCCTTGTATACTTTTTGTGCACCGGGCTAATCTATTACCTACTCAAAAATTTAAGAAAATAAGCTTCCTCTATTTATACCAAGCTAATGCTTGTGGGATATAGAGTATTTGTTATTAATAATCCCAAAGATAGGAGTCTGTGTACACATGCGACATCCCTTCTGTGAGAGTCAACATCTGCAGGAAAGAGGACAGTTGCTACAGCTGTGCCTGAGTTTAGTTCCTGGCTGGGCTGTGGGGTTTCCTGCTCACGTAGGCCCTCTGGCCTTGATTATAGTCATGGGGCTATGTAAACATACCCACTGGCCTATTTTTCCTGGCCTGGAGGAGGGGATGTGTGACATTCTCACCTAATTATGGAAATTCACTCTGTCATCCCCTGACAGACACTAATGACTATCCTCACAGCCAAAGGATTGAATTTGCAATAGAAGTGTAAACAAGACCTGCCCATTGCTTCCCATCATCATTTCTTGCATATGCTCATTTTCTCACTATAGAATTGTCCCAGGAGCCCTACCTCTCTGCCCACAGTGTCTCTCCAACTACATCCTGCAGCCAGATTAGGATTGCTAAATTATTATCATACAAGCATGCCCCTGGACAAGAGCCTGCCACATGCGCAAGTCCTGGCTTCCTGTTTCAGCTGTCTCTCTCCCACCCAGCAGGGTGCACCTCCTGCTCTGCTGTGCTAGGCTGTTTCCGTGACCTCCCACATTCATGCAAGGTCCACTCCTGAGCTTTGCTGAAAACTCCTGTCCCTAGTCCTACTGCCTGCTCGCCTCTCTGCCCAGCCCTTGGTAATGTCTAACTCTGGCCTCTGATGAAACTTCCTCAAACTCATTAAACACACACACCCAACAGAGACAGCAACAAAACAACTCTTTGAGAATTGGGTGAACCCAAAATGTGTTCTGTCAGTGGTGAGGGGAAAGGGCAAGATGGCCAAAGTCATCCCAACTGGGTTCTCCTAGCTATGATGCTTTTCAGCTGTTTGACTGTAAGCAACTCATTAACGTCCCTCTGCCATTCTGCTTCTTCCCGTAGTAAAGGGCAGTGACTGATTCCTGCAGAGTGACCATGAGGTCTCAGTGAGGCGCTGTAGGTGGACCTGTACATACCACCCCAAGGAGAAGTCCTGCATTTCTACTCTCGGGGTCACACCAATGTTGACTTTTCATCTACAGCTTTACTGTAGATAACTGTTGAAGTGATGTGGTTACTCTCAGAAGAAAGTTCCAGCCTCACTGAGGGTGGCTGTGGGTGTGTACGGATTGGTTTTGAGTGGCTGTCTCCTCCATCTCTCCAGGTTTCCCATGCTCAGCAGGACTATCTGGAGAGTCACATCCAGACCCAGTCGTCAGCCCTGGATAGTTTTAATGCTATGAACTCGGCTTTGGCTTCGGACTCCATTGGCCTGCAGGTACTCATCGGCTTCCTGCTGCATGGCTCCTCCTGTCATAGGGCAGCTGAGCTTAACTCAGGAGGGGGGCCTATTCTTTTGTAGTAAAGTCACAGAAAGCCCCAAGCTCATGATTCAGAGTCCTCTAAGCACAACTACAGCAAAGACTTGTGCCAAGGAGTTGCTGAAGCAAGTGGAAGGAAACTTTTCCAAGCTGAGACCCTAACCCTTTGCTTTATCCTCTGTAAAATGTGGCTTTGGTTTCTGAGTACAGTGCTAGAGCTGTCACTTGCTCCAACAGATAACTCAGTAGTCCTCAGTGTCTGTGCCAGACCCAAAACATCAATGACCTTCTCCCATAACCCTGATGGTTCAGGAAATTCCACCCAATCATAGAGAAGACGGACTTAACCAAAAACAGTCTATACTTTCATGACCAAAAGCTCCCAAAAGCTGATAGACACTTTTTCTTAATTTAGAAATTATTTTGCAATAGAAAGAGTCCTGTGTATCCCAAAGAATGTCTTATGTAGAGATAGAGAAAGACCCAGTATCCTACATTTGTAAAACTGTGTGTGGTCTGCTCATTTCAAGGGATCATTCTCTTGATTAATTTGATTTCTTAAGAGCCAGCCATTCACTGCTTCCCATTCTTACTCTTCTAGCCATGTAGTCCCTTACCTAACATGGAGGTTATTTTAAAGATGTTCAAAACAAAGCACTATATTCGCTTGAAATAGCTTTCCTGGGCCTAACTTTCCAAAGACATAAAATATTAGTTTTTGCTCCTCCTCCAGTTTCACAGGACTATTTTTATGCTCTTCTTAAAAGTTCCATAGACTATTCCAAGTATCTTCTGGTACTTTATAAATAATTTAGTGGATAAGCAAACAGATTTTTATGTTGGGCCTCTCTACTTCCCCCCAAGACCTAGTGTTCTCTAATAACGGCTCTATCAGCATGTGGCAGTAGTGTCAGCAGCAGCTGGCCGCCGTCCCGCTGTGGGCCTGGGTGGGTCTTGTGTTTGGGTTTGTCTGGGATGCCCATTTCTGGCGGGGCCTTTGAGTCCCCTGCTTTTCCTGGCTCTCTTTTGTATATGCCAGTTTCCCCTGGCCCCAGGCCCAGTCTCAGTCCCACTTTGGCTCTGATTTATTCAGGAGCCTTTGTTTTCCCTTCCTCTTGTCACTAAGGGGTCTTGACAAGGCTCCCTTCCCTTCCCTCCTGGATGCCACCTCACCCAGCCCACCATCTCACCCAGCCCACCAGGAAGAGTTTAGACTTTGTTGGTAGCTGTACTTTGTTTCTATTTTTTTGTTTTGTTTTATTTTTTTGCCAGAAAATATTTTTTTCCAGCTGATTTTCAAATGCTTCTGATGTGCCCCTTACCAGCCTTCCAGAAATGTATCCCCAGAGGTCAGCTGTTAGGACAAGTGCAGCCTTAACCCAGGGGTCCTGACTGACCCCTAGTTATTGTCCAGTCTCTTGGTCCTGAACATTCAGAGAATTTTATAACTAATAGATTAAACCAGTATTTGAATCCTAAGGTTGTTGGTTTCTTATTTATGCAAGATCTCAGCTTCTTCCACTTGAAGGTTCTACCCACATTCATTGTTATTAATAGGGAAACCAGACCCTTGGTTTGATTTCATAGACTATCAGTGCTGGAAAGAACTCTTGAGAGGATGTCCATTCCCTTTGTTTTATGGATGAACTGAGACCAACAGAGAGAAATTATGTGAACAAGGTGTCTAGCTAGTGGCAGAATGAGGATTAGAAGAATCCTGGTCTGGACTGTGAGTTTTATATGGACACAAGAATAGTATCTGTAGAGCCAGAGGGGATTGGAGATGGGGGTTGGGCTAGGTGCCTTCTAAAGCCCTTTAAAGCTCACATGTTCTGTGAGTCCCTGCTACTAAATGGCCTCAGTATTTCCTTTAATATCTAATTACCTCCATCAACAATTCTTTTTCCTGACTCAAATAAGGTTTGGATGAGACACTTCTTATTGTCCAAAGTGGAGGCTGAGGAAACTTCAGAAGATGATTTAACAAAGAGGACAGAGGTGTTAGGAACAGTCCAGCACCAATTTCTAAATCTCCTGAAGATGTGGATGACTTGGGGAGGTAGTAGAAGGTGCCCGGAACCCAGTGTTCAATGGTGGGGATTCTAGAGTGTATGGAAGCCATTTCTCTCTAAGGAGGGTTAGCCAAGGAGAAACTGAAGCAATAAATAGTCACACTATTAATTTGAACATTTTTGCCCCAGTGGGTGGCCTAAAGCAATAATCACCAGGCTCTTGACACTTGCCAGGCACTTGTCTAAGTTAGTAACCTCTGTTCCTTCCTCTGTAGTTCTTTATCACCACCCTTCTTGCCTAAGAGAGGAAGGTGATGCACTTGGGGGAGAGGGAGGAGCAGAGGGGGGAGCGAGGTGGGGGGAGGCTCAGAGTTGTGTCAGCCACGTTGTTAACATCCCTGTGGGCAGTGATGGGAAGTTAGGGCCCTTTTAAGAAAGAGGGGGATTTCTTCATTCTGTAAAGCCTATATTTTGTTTTCTAATTTCATTGTGTGGATATGGAAAATACAGGAAAAAAGAAGAAAATAGATATTTATACTTCTATCACAGTGAAAATTATTATTTGAGTTTGGATTTACTAATGGGATTTTACTGTACTATTTTAAAGCCTTTTTTTTTCCCCCATGAGAAGTGAGGTATTATAGTCATTTTTCCTTGGAAAGACTCCATTGTAATCCACTTCTATCCATCCTAGGCGGTGGCAGGTGGTGTTGGCAACAGCTGTGGGAGGTTATGGGGGAGGCTAGCTGGTCCACCAGGCCACAGGACGGCAGACCATGTTACCACTGTGGGAGGCCCTTAGTCCCTCAAACAGCAGGTCCCAGGGTGGTCCGACAAAGGGATGTGGTAGCACAAGACCCTGGCTATGTTTTCTCACACCTAGATGTGGTTTTGTTTTTATTTTCATCCAAATAGAAAACCCTTGTGGATGTTACTTTGGAAAACAGCAACATTAAGGATCAAATCAGAAATTTGCAGCAGACGTATGAAGCATCGATGGACAAGCTACGGGAAAAGCAGAGGCAGTTAGAGGTGGCGCAAGTGGAGAACCAGCTGCTGAAACTGAAGGTAAAGTCCGTGATCCCCCATGTCCTACTAACCTTTCCCTTCTTCTCTCACCTCCAGTCTTCAAGTCTTCCATTTCCTTTTCTCCTTTCTCTTTTTGGTTAAAATTTCTCCCCCTTGTGGGCAATCCCTCAGGGTGAAGCTTGAACTAAAAAGATTTGTTGCTGAAAAAAAAGTCTGAAATGACTGAATGAAGCCTTTTCCTGAACACAGGATCTGTATCTGCCTATTTATTCTACAAATACTTACTGAATGTTTACTATGCACGTTTGCTCTGTGTATTCCGGTTTGCTCTGGGTGGCATGTCACCAGACATGGAGGGACATCATTAGGCCGCTTGGCGGTCTTGTTGCTTCTGGAATCCAGGCTTCCAAGTCCAGGCCTGTTTCATAGACTGATGCTTATTTTTATGCTCACCAGGGGAGTTCAAGAGGGTTCTTTCCCCTACCCTTTCTCTTATTTTATCTCCCAAATAAAAAGAAAAAAATGTTACGGGAACTCAGGGTTTTTCGCACCACCTGAATGTGGAGTGATCTGGCCTCTGGGACAGAGCCCTTTCCTGCAGTCCGTGTGCCATGGACCAAGACTCTCAGATAAATGATAACCTCTGCCTAGGAGTTTCCATTTGGTGGTTCTTGGTGCCAACACTTGCTTAGTGATGAGACAGAGAATTAAAGGGTGTCAAAAGAGACACGTCACACCTTTGGAGTAAACATCACTTAACCTGTGGAGGTTGAAGGACTCCTCCCTTATCCTGAGGCTATGCATGCTGCAGACTCAGCTCTCTTGGTTGAACATTCCTTCACTTGGAAGGAGCATGGGAGCAAGCCCCCAGCGGCATGAGATTCACGGCACAGAATTCACGTGTGAGAACGAGGCCTGGTCAGAAAGGAAGCCCCAGCTCCCCCAATCTCAGCCCTGCCCACCCTCAGTGCTACTGAGTCATCTCATCTTCCAAGCTGTGCCCATTCAGGCCAATTAAAGTGCCCAAATTAGTTTCCCCACTAGGTCAAAGTGCTTCCAAATGTAACATTTGGGAACGGACACAGGTGGGGAAGGGAGAGTCCATATTTCTTATTTAAACTTAAATAAAGTCTGACCTACAGACTGGCTTAGCTAACATAATTAATAGGATTGTGCAGAGAAGCTAAGTTTCTACCTTTTGAAAAATTCATGCATGTGGACCACCTTTGTCCTGAACATCCTAAAAAAAATCAGTGTACAGTGCCACTTTAGTTTGTGCCCTGCTCACCCATCTTCCTTGTTCCTTCCCTCCCTGTCCTGAGAGTTTCTGCTGCTTCCCTCTACTGAGAACTTTGGGTGACCTGCTCCCTAACTCTGTGTGTCCATGCACCAAATACCCACAGGGAAAGCTCCTGATGGCCCTGGGACCTGCAAAAGCTGCAGTTTTTGAAATGAGTCTCTTTGCAGGTGGAATCTTCTCAAGAAGCCAATGCTGAGGTGATGAGAGAGATGACCAAGAAGCTGTACAGCCAGTATGAAGAGAGGCTGCAAGAGGAGCAGCGGAAGCACAGCGCTGAGAAGGAGGCGCTCCTGGTGTGTAGGGGCAGCACCCACTGGAACCTGGGACACGAGGTGTAAGGGTCAGGTTTCTTACAGGGACAGTGGAATGGAAGTGGTAGGGATCAGGGAATTTGTTGCTCATCCACTTCCCTCCTCTCTCCACTTCCTGCCTTCATTCATCCCCTTCCCTGCTCAGAGTAGCCCAAGTCTTGGTCTCTAAATGCATGCCTTTCTCAGCTAACCTTGTGGCAGCATCTCCTTTCTACCTGAAATCTCTGCCTCTCCGTCCAAGAATCTTCTTGGGCTTCCTAAATCCCCTGTAAGTGCCACCCTCTCCATGCCTGGGTCTCTTCCATTAATGCATCTAGAAATGTCCTCAGTCCTTGGGAAGCCACTCCATCTCTGCTCTCTGCTGTGGAATTTTTTTGTACCTGTCACAGCGTTGAGTTGTGTCTCACGTCTTGCTTTCATAGGATAGTGTACATTCTTTGCAGGCAGGGACTCCATGTCTGCCTTGTCTGCATCCTTAGAGGCTTAGTAAATGTGTCAGATGACTGAGTTGGGTTGCTTTTTTGTTTTTTGTGTTTTTTTCCCCTTAAGAGTGAGTTGGTGGGTTGCAGTATGGGATAAAGATCTGGGAATTCTGCATTCCAATCCAGATCTGGCCCTAATTCCTTTTATATTATTGGCAAATACAATGACATTCTGTGAATCTGCTCAAGGTTACTTGAACTGTCACAGGTTCTTTATGCCTTTTGTACATACGTTTTCAAGCAGAAAAGGAGAAATAGAGTTGAGGCCCATTAGGAAACCACATGATAAGTCTTTATTCAGAATTGAGAACCAGAATCACAGAAGTTGAGATCATCTTTTGTCAGAAATTAGTTCCTGAGGTTTGACTTTTACAGGAAATCATGGTCTACCAAGGCCAGAGCTGTTTGTAGTAGCCTAGGTAGTCCATGCCTATACTGAGGACAGGATATTTCTTTTGCAGGAAGAAACCAACAGTTTTCTGAAAGCAATTGAAGAAGCCAATAAAAAAATGCAAGCAGCAGAGATCAGCCTGGAGGAGAAAGACCAGAGGATTGGGGAGCTGGACAGACTCATTGAACGCATGGAGAAGGTACTAGACACAGTTGCCCACTTTCCCAGCCTCTGCTGCATTTCTGCAGGTGCTTTGCAGGCCTATCTGAAAATACAGAAGCCCTCAACACTGATTCCTCTCAGCTCCCCAGTTTGCAATTTAAAAAACTATAAAATAAAATATGAGAAGTCCAATAGAATTCAAATTTTTCCCTTAGTAACTTTGATTACTTAATTTCCATGCCTTTAAAAATATTATACATGAAATTCTTTACAAAAACTCCTTTTTAAATTTAATTTAATTTTATTTTTAGCATCCATGCTTTGCTAATACTCCAGGCAGGCATGTAGTTTACTCATTGAGTAATCCAGCCCTATTTGGATGTTCAGCCAACACCCCAATCCTGTTGTTTATGGGGCATGCGTCTGGGGCATGTTGACTTTTCCCTGAGACTAGGGACTGGGAGGAGCTGGGAAAGCCACGTTCTCTGTGGGAGTGGTAAACAGGCTGAGGGGTGGGGATAGGGGCCTGGGAAGTAGGAGCACAGCTGAGATAATGAAACCCTCTAGAGAAAGGGAAGAGGCTGGAAACTAGACAGGAAGTGGAAAAAAGGGGAGAGGGGTAGGAGAGGGGACAGAGGACAGGAAGGAAGAGGAAGAATGGGTGACATTTAGCACCTAACACTGACTTCCTGGGGATGGCCCAGGAGTTCAGGGCCAAAGCTGTGGCTGGTTTCAGGGAAAGCACTGGCTCTCTAGGTGCCTACTAGGTTGCAGATAGAGGTGACCTGTCAAGACAGACATTATTAGCACCCTGTAACTCACTCTGCATGCTGAGAATCTTCCAACTGATGATGGAGACGGGGAAATGACAATGAGCAAGGTCACAGCCCAGGCTTCCTTGTTTTTTAGAGGAAAGGTCCCTTTACATCCCCCTCGGTATCTGCCACATAACCCCTTTACAGCCCTCTCACAAGGTGAGTTCTAATCAGAGGGGAAACTGCATTAAATTCAGGGCTGTGGAGCTTCTGAGTTCACTGAAGGCTCCTTTTGAGCAAATATCCTAATTTGGGAGTTATGCTCTCACCTCTACTCCTGGGAAACAGAATCCCACATGTACTTTGTTGCTCATTTAGGAATAATATCAGTATTGACTGGAGGTGATCACAGTAGTGAAGATGCGACAATAGGGGCACTTTCTAGAACCTGGGTGAATGTTCCCCTGATCACCATTCTCCTACAAAGCAGAATATGCTGGTTAAGTCAAACACAGTGTCTAGATGGCAGTTTCTACTGCTGCATAAAAAGCAGGCAGTATTGGAGAGGTGGCTTCGGCAGCAAAGAATCTTCCAGAAAGAGTATATGTGTGTGGTAAGAACACAGTGTTTAAAATCAGACAGACCCAGGGTTTGGAACTTGCCCGTCTTTCTAGTTGTGTTTTCTAAAACCCAGTTTCCTCTTCTGAAAATACTGATAATATTAGTTCTTATCCTTTTGTGAGATATAAATGAGGGGGGAAAGTCCATGCCAAATGCTAACTGAGCATAGTACCTGGCACATGATAAAGGGCTTAATAATTTATGACCTCAATTTTTATTTTGCTACAGTTTTGCCTAAGTGTCTGCCCCAGGAGCTTTCCCTTTGCAGGGCCCATCTTATAAGTGGTCTTCTTGGTACCCTTGGCTTTCTGCAAGTTTCTAGTTTGCTCCCACTGATTTCCATATGCAGCCCTTATGTGAGGCAAATGGGAGGGAAGGCCAGGAAGGGGGTGAGGCCAGCCTTCTTTGCCAGTACTTAAGGGAACACAAAAGGTTCCTCAAATTCTGTTGGCTTTTTCTTTAGTGACTAAAAATTTATTGTCCTTTCTCTAAATCTTCCTGTCCATTTAGACTACAGAAATGCTTCCTTTATTTAGCTAAGATTAGATATACACACTTAGGCTCTTTCCCCTTCAGGGATAAATCCTTGCAAGCAGGCATCTGGCCAGATCTCTGTCCCGCTCACTGCATGTGAGCAGTGTGTCCACAGGCGGGAACGGTGGCAGTGTTTGTGTCCTGCTCTCCTCTACTTTTGGATTTTGCTGGAGGACAAACTGTGTGCTTTTGAATGGCTTCTCTACTTCATACCTCATTTCTCTTTGTCTCACTGAGTGTGATATTGGAAGCATCTTTGTTTCTATTCAGTGAAAATCTAAGGAATGTGCTCCCCCAGGGTCTCCTCAGGAACAGATAACCTTCACAAGTGTAGACAAATGAAAGAAACTTTTGTGCAGTGTACACTGAAGGTTGGTTGTATCTCAGTGTTTAAAAATAGAATTTTTATCACGTTCTGTAGTTAGGTCTTGTCCTATTGTGTGACCCTCTACTTGTGTAGTGGAGAGCTGATGGCATAGTACACAGATAGGGTGCACATTCTGCCTAGGCCAGGCCTTATGAATATGTGTCTGCTGTGGAGTCTTGAAAACATTAACAAAGCCCCAGCAAAAGACAGCCTTCCCTCATTTTCCCAATGTGCCCTGGCCAGGGTGGAGACTTCTGGCCCCTCCTGCTTTCCCCTTGGGAACAGGAGTGGGAGGTAAAGTTTCAAAGATTTGCTTTTAATAACTTGGTGGAAAAGAGGTTTGGTATCTATAAAATTTGTAGGAGTTTATTGAAGAGAATTCCTGAACATAAAGATGAGGCACAGTAGTTCTTAGAAGAGGATTGAAAGTAAAATACTCTCCTCCCACTGAGTGAGCAGGACTTGATAAGCTTCCACTTTAAGGGAATGTATCACATTGACATTTATAATGAATTTCTAGTACAATTTCAGTGATGATGAGCACCACGCTTTAACATTTTTCTACTTTCTCCAAAGAAATAATTGTCCAAATTCTTACTTTTTTTAAGGTAAACTTTAAAATTTACATATATATGATGAAGGATATGTTTCTTATTATGGTTGTAACAAATTACCACAAAGTTAGTGGCATAAAACAACACCAATTTATTCTTTTTCCGTTCTGGAAGTGAGAAGTCCTCAACTCAAGATGTTGGCAGGGCTGGATTCCTGTCAGAAGCTCTAGAACATCCATTTCCTTACCTCTTCTATCTTCTAAGGACTCCTGTATTCCTTGGCTTATGTTCCCTTCCTCCAGCTTCAGAGCCAGCACTGTAGTATCTTCCAACTTTTCTGAGTCTAACTAATGCTTCCTTCTAGTAAGGGCCCAGAGATCCTTCACCACATCTAGGGAACTTTGTAAGTTCCCTTTTATGTATAAGATGACATGCTTATAGGACATGGATATCTTTGAGAGGACCATTATTCTAACCACAGTACATTTTTTAGAAGTGATACCTGTGTAAACACTGCTAGGTTAGAACATAGGACATCACCAGAATCCCAGAGCTACTAACTTGGAGCATTGATTAGCACTATTTAGGGCTTGGGCTGATGGAATACTCTTTAAAAAATCTTGGAGCTGGGTTGTGGCTCAGCGGTAGAGCACTCGCCTAGCACATGCGAGACCCTGGGTTCGATCCTCGCACCACATAAAAATAAATAAATAAAATAAAGGTATTGTATCCAACTATGACTAAAAAAATAAATATTAAAAAAATCTTGAATGTGGTTTTATCCAGGGTACTTGTCACTAAATCCATAAATACAGCTGTAAATGCACATCAACAGATCTGGCACCTTTGAACTTTGGACTCTGTGCGAGTGGTGTGGAAAGCCCAGGGGGGTGTCATACAGACCTGGAGTCACTAGAGCTGGAATTGCTTGACATGTGCATATCTGCTGTGTAGCTACTGATCCATTGATTACAATTTGTATTGATTTTAGGAACGGCATCAACTGCAACTCCAACTCCTGGAGCATGAAACAGAAATGTCAGGGGAAATCACTGATTCTGACAAGGAAAGGTAAGAGGAAATGCCCTTTGTCACGTTGTGAATATCAAAGGTAGGTATGCTCTGTTCTTGTGGGCTCATTTGACCCTTGCGTTTTCACTCATGTGGTTTTCACTTACTAGAAACTTATACAAGGTGACATTGGATTGAGAGCTTCCAGTGTGAAGCAGGTTCTTTTAGGCACTTACATCCATCTTTCCCCTGCACTAGTTGTTGGGCACACTCAAGCACATCAAAGATGCCGCAAGTGCAAAAGTTCAATCTATAAATGTTCTCCCGAGCCTTGAACTCTGCAGGATGTACCTTGTTGATGAGAAAGCTCATCAACTATGACTAATACTGTTTGTCCTGGAAATTAATTTTAAAATGCTTTTGTTTGTTTCTAAACCTTGGATTGCCCTTTGGTTATGGGCATATAAAACCCTGGATGGAAAATATGGGAGTCGTCCACTTTCCCTCTAGATATGGAAAGGCAGAGCAGTGGCCCTCCCATGGCTGTCCCTCAAAGGAAAGGAGGCTGGAATATTGGAGCACTTTGAGTGAGTCACTTAACTTCCCTGAGGCTCTTTACTAGACTGTCAAATGAGAATTCTTTTTTTAAAGGCGGAAAGGGTGATAATGTTGAAAGCATGGTCCCTCTTATTGGATCACATTAGGACGGAAGTTTAGACCATACTTCCCACCACTTAGTATATGCTGAAAAAAATACCTGTTTTCCTTCCTCTTTTTTTTAAATGTTTTAGTTGTAGTTGGACACAATACCTTTATTTATTTATCTTTATGTGGTGCTGAGGATCGAACCCAGTGCCTCACCCATGCTAGATGAGTGCTCTACCACTGAGCCCCAGCCCCAGCCCCAGCCCCTTCCTTCCTCTTATGTAACTTCAGAGTTGTCAAGGTTATAGAAGTGTTTTTTTTTTTTTTTTTAACTGTAGTATTGAGGAGGGACTGGCAGAGCTGAGTGGTGCAGACTACCAAACCCTTCCTCTAATGCTCCATGCTGGGGGCCCCCAAGGCTAGAGTCATCTGGGGCTCCTTTGATTTCTTTGAACCAAAGTCAGAGAATCATTTGTGCTATTTCAAAACAAAAGTATGAAATGCTCTGTGACCTGAGCAACTCCGTTTTGATGTGGAGAAGGTCTTTCAACATGTTCTCTGTTTATCCCAAATAAATTATGTATAGGCTAACTCTGACTCCAGCTTTTCTAGGACTCTTGCCCTGGATTTCACATATTTTATTGTGTTGCTAGACTCTCCCTGTCTGTCTTTCTAATCATGGCAACTGGATGCTCCAATCCTGTATTAACCCTGACTACTGTCTTTTCCATATTTCTGGGTACATCTTTCTATACTGCATGTTATATTTCCTTTTCTGCTATTATACCTGTGAGTGGAAAAAAAAATTCTCTTTCCCCGGAAGGTGTAGCAATTGGCTTTACATAGGATACAACTTGAAAGTGGGAACTTGGAAAAGTCCTGTCTTCCTTCTAGTCATCTAGGTTGTGCACTGTAAGAAGAGCCTGTCTTGGGGTTTCTTTGGCAGTATTTCTACAAAGTGGTGACCTGTGCTGGTGTGACTACATTGGTTTAGGACTCAGTTGCTTTTTTTCTCCCTGTGTTAGGTATCAACAGCTGGAGGAGGCATCAGCCAGCCTGCGAGAACGGATCAGACACCTAGATGACATGGTGCATTGCCAGCAGAAGAAAGTCAAGCAGATGGTTGAAGAGGTAAGCAGCAGCGCAAAGCCTTGGGACCAGGAGTGCTTCCTGTGATGGGGAGACTTCAGCCCTAGAATGGATGTGGCTCTCTCAGCAGTTTCCTCTGGCTCCCACATGAACTTACTCAGGCAGGGATTTCTTCATATGTCTGGTGATTATCCTTCTAAAAGAGGGCTTTCTCCACATAAAGTATTGCAGTTAGAAAGCTGTGAAGGCAAGTGGGTTCATAAATGCACCCCGTCTAGGAGGACAGAGATACCCTCTGTGGTGTGAACAGAGAGGTTGACTTGAGCTCAGGGCGCTGCAGCCTCCCAGACCCGCCTGCCTCTCCCTCCCAGCCGCCACTGCTGTCCTTTCTCCATGTTTGAGTGCCTCTTCCTGTGCTGCTCCTCACACTCCCTTTCCTTGTCTGCTTCTCTCTTTTCTCCCAACTCCGTTTTCTCTCTCACTCCTGTTCTTCATGCTTTCTTTTTTCTGTAGTCCTTTCTCTTTCATAATGATCTCTATAACATGAAATGAAGTCACATATTTATTCTTCTGGGGATGTTTTACCTTTTTTCTAAATGAGAAAAAGCAGGTAAGTTGAACACGTACATTTCTCTAAGAGGAAAGAAGAGGTCTTTGGGCTTGGTCAGTGTGTTCATCTCTCTCCCTCTTGTGCTGACTTGATAGAGGAGAGTCCATGCTGTTGTAAAGCCTGTCACATATTATTGTAGTTTGATAGAAAAAGAATAGTCAGTGCTAATGGGGTTATAAGAAATCCCTTGGGTTAAATTCTCTAACTTGCAAAAGAGAAGAAAAGGCATTAATTCAATTCAACATTTGTTTGTCACTGGAGAACTGAAAAAAAATTTTTTTTTTGCCTAATACTAAGCACAACCCTAAAGAGATATCTGTTTTATTAGTGAATTATTAAAATTAAAAGTTTACTTCTGATAAATAATTCATACACATGGTAGACAACATTCAAAGTTTATGTGTTTTATTAACCCATAAAATATTGGGGATGTTAGTGTGGTGCAGTTAAAGTCAGTGAATTAGAAGGGTGAGGAGGGACACTTTTTTATTGGCTATAGGATAAGCACACATGTCACCCAGATAGAATTTTGTCCCCAGAAGAGAAGCCCAACCATACCATGTGAATCATGTCTTTTATGAGCTTGCACAAAAGTCTCTGGGGAGAAGTGGAATCAGTTAAGGAGAAGCTAGGCCGTACCTTTGTCTGATTTCCACCCCAAGCAGTGGCCACAGGGGTGATTCTGGCCTGCCATCAGCACTAGGTAGATCTCAGAGGTATTTCCCAAGGGGAGGCATCACTTGTTACAGTTCCATCTCAGTGAACCTTGGCTTTCAGGGCATACTTTTTCTGCTTTTGAATTTCACACACTGGAAGTCTGGGGCAAAGGTGATCTCTTGTTGTCTCCCATGGGACTCCTTACCTGTGGGAGCTGCATTTCTTCCTCCTCACTGCAGGAGACTATACTATTCTCATGTGACATGTTGGAAAACCATAAAACAAAACTTCACACTGATTGGCTTTTGAAGCAGTTAAATCCTTATATGTAAGGGTTTTAGAGTGGTAGCAAAATTAGATAGACTTTGTTATAAAGACACTTGAAAGGAAGTATAGACTTCTCTGCTTTGTAACCTGCCAGATTAGAATGAAGGTACCAGTTTGAATGAAGTGGAGTAACATGCATGTGCATACACCTGATTATGTCTCAGTAAATGAGACTTTTGGCTCTAGGACTCCCCAAAGATACCAAAATCCTTGAATACTCAGATCCCTTGCATACAATTTATGTGATCCTTCCATGTACTTTAGATGATATCCAGATTACTTATAATACCTAATGCAGTGTCAAGGCTATGTAAATAGTTTATGCAGTGTTGTTTAGGGACTAATGACAAGAAAAAAATCTGTACATGTTCAGTACAGATGCAATTTTTATTTTTTTAAAATATACTCAAGCTGAGGTTGGTTAAATCCACAGGTGTGGAGACAAAATGCCAACTGTGTGTGTGTGTGTGTGTGTGTGTATGTATGTTTAGGGGAGCATGTACATATATCAATGTCCATGCTGTGTTCTCTCTGCATTCAGAAAGCCCAGTCACTCATAAGGATGGCGCCTTTAGAGTTGGCGCCACCTAGGGGCTGTCTGGGTTTTAACAGTGAATGGAGACTTAAAAATTAAGAATGCTTTTTTTTTTTTTTCTGAATTTAAATTACCTAAATCAAATAGTAAAAATGATCGTATTTTTCTAGTATACCATTTAACTTCTACAACAAAAAAATTGTTGAAAAATCTCAGCTGTGTATACATTTATGGAAATACACATTTTTTTTCTTAAAGTTAGAAACATGGAAAAGCGGCATTGACAAATGAGCACTTTCAGAAGAGCAGGACCAGGTTGGAAGGAGTTGAGAGTTCTGATAATGGGGGCACTGGTTGGAGAAATTGGGGAGGACATAACCAAGGAGCACTGTGAGAGCTGTGCTCTTAGAAAGTAGAAGAGGAAGTATATTTTGGTCTGTATTATGAGGCAGAGCCAGGCCAGAACCACTGGGTGGCACTTGCAAGAAAAAAATTTCAGTGCTTCATTCAAAATATAGAAAACGTTTCTGATATTGGGAAAGTATATAGCCCTTCACCAAGGGTGTCTTCCTCATGAAGTAAGAAGTCGAGTGAGGAGCTCTTCAGTGTTCCAACAGAATTCTGTGTTCTGTCATCTGAAAGGCTGTGTGGAGGAAATCCAGTACCTTTATATAAAGAATTTTTTGTTGTTTACTATGATGTGCCCCTTCTTATGATCTCAGCATTATTACTTTGCATAATGAGTGAAATCAGCTAAACCATAACTAAATCCCTTCAGATCACTTGGGCCAAGTTTTGAAAAATCCAGATGACTGAATTGGTCAGTGTGAATTCTTGAATTCTGGCTTTAGAAGAGAAGTATATTTTTATCTGGAAACACTTGCTACTGAAAGAGAAAGAGAGAGGAAAGAGGCCGATTTGGCCTAGGATAGAGCCAGCCTTCAAGCAGATATTAGGGACAGTTTTCTTTTCTTCATGCTGAATCTGAAAGTTTGTATGCACCACAGCTCCACCTTTAGCAAGGATGGGAATCCAGTTTCCATCTACCTCTAGTGTCATTTTGGTCTTAATGTCTATGAAGAAACTTATTAATTTGATTGGCTTCTTTTTTTCAGCTCAAAATGTCCAGGTACTACTACTGAGGCTCTTGGAAACCTTAAATATTAAGCAATCTATCTTTTCCACCCCTGTAGGATATCATCTCATAAAAATAGTGGTAATGATAGTAATCTAAATAAAAAAGTGACTGGCCCACATTTTATAGTCCTTAGTTCAGTAATGTCATAATTTCCATTGTGTGGGACAGTAAGGACTTGTACTATATAAGAAGGGTTTAGGGTGGGGAGGGGATCTTTTGAAATGTAGGATGAGTACATATTTTTTTTCTTTTTTAATTTTAATTTGTTATATATAACAGCAGAATGCATTAAAATTTATATTACAAATATAGAACACAATTTTTCATATCTCTGGTTGAACACAAACTATAGGCACACCATTTGTGTCTTCATACATGTACTTAGGGTAATGATGTCCATCTCATTCCACCATCTTTCCTATCTCCATTCCCCCTCCATTCACCTTCCTCCCTTTTGCCCTATCTAGAGTTGAGTACATATTTGAAGGGGTCAATTCATTGAAAAAAAAAAAGCAAAAAGAACATTGTCTTCTGAAAAGTGTAGGGTAAGTACCTGCACTAGTCTAGGTCTTTCTGCAGGATTATGTAGTTTGTCATGGAGGTCAAGCTTCTTCTTCCCATCACTAGCTCTCTTAGCTGATTCTGGGTCTGACAAAAATAGTATGCAAAACAACAATGACATCAACAAAGCCCCACCTGTGCAGACTGGGTACTGTGGGCCTTTTAGGCTGCTTTTTTACTCTACAAGTGATTCCAGACTGCAGCCAGGGTTGAGACCCATGCCCCGGATTTTCATAGCAGTGGCCTGACTCCCCCTGTTGGGTTGGGTTTCATGTTTTTCATGAATTCAGCCAGCCTCCCTGGGAAGCTCCTAGACCTGAGGGGAAAGCTGCTGGTGAACTTGGAGTAAGAAGGTCTCCATGGAAGAAAGCCCAGGGGACTAGTCATCAGGGATTGGAGCACTAAAATGAGAAAGCTGGTCCAAGTCTGAAACTATCCAGGTCTTGTCAGACAAGCTTTATTCCTTGCCAACCCCTAGATCCTGGGTCCTGGGAGGATTCTATAAAAACTTGTTCTTAATGCTGTATTGGCTTGGGGGTATGCAGATCATAATATCTTTCTATAGTCATCCAGATCAATCCTGGAGGGATGATATTACAAAGGGGACTGAGATGTCCTTGTTAAACAGAGAATAGAGACTAAAGTTTACAGAATCCAGTCTACATAATGTCCATGGAGGCTGGGAACCTAACACTTAACACAGAGACTGAGTGGTTCTCCTGGATCCTTTTGCCACTGTGCACATCTGGGTGTATCTGCTCTCCTCCTGGTTTAAACAATCTTCTTCTATTTATCAGAGGACCTTACACTTGGCTATACTGTACCTCTTTAGAAAAGAGACAAACAAGCTAGACTTGATGCACACCTGTAATGCCAGGGATTTAGGAGGTTAAGGCAGGAGGATTGCAAGTTTGAGGCAGCCTGAGCAACTTATCAAGACTCTGGTCTCAAAATAAAAAGTAAAAAGGACTGGGGTTGTGACTCAGTGGTAGAGCGAGCCAGGTTCAATCCTAGTACCGCCAAACAAACAAAACAAACAGAATGCCTTGGTGAAATCATATTAACAATGACCACTTCTGAAGTGGAAGACACAGCAAAATGGTTTCTCAATTCCTATCCAATGTTTTTCAAAGTATTTGCTCACCATCTCTTAGACCCTTTTCAGAGTGATGATGCCCTCATCATAATGTGATGACAGTTCCTTGGGGAAACAAACTGAATGGGGGTGGGGGAAGGGGGACGGATGACATGTGGCTCTTCAGAGAGTAGCGACTTTGAGTTTCTGGTTCCTTGGCCAATTGGCCAAACAGGGCTTCCCTTGTCTGTTCTATGTGGAGCCCCTGAACTTATCTCCCCAGTCCATGAGTCACACAAGAACCTCTTGTGGGCGGAGATTGGAGATTGTTAGGGATGACAATAAAAAGTAACCTGAAAAGTTTTTCATTTTGTTGTCTATAAAATGAGGTTGATATCATTATCTGAGAGATTTTTGGGTAAGAGTTAAATGAGATGATGTCTAATAAAGCATTGTGTTAATTGGAACATAGGGAATGCCTAATAAATACTAGCTGCTGCTATTACTATTACTGCTGGTGAATGTCTTCCTGTTGTGTACACCTTCAGTAAAGGGAAGTGACTGAAAGCAAGTGTAGCTGATTAAAGTACTGACCAATACTCAGGGCTGCTGTTTTTTCCTTTTGGAGGCCGTGCGGGCAAAATCAGATCTTTTGGTACTCCGCTCTCTTTCCTTCTGGGCTCTGTGCTGATCTTTAGCTTAGCCATCAGACTATTGAGTAGAATATTTACATGCAATGCAATTTTTAAAATTTAAATTCTTCCCAAGAAACTTCCATTTTAATTGGCTCAACCATTTGCTGTCACAGTTCATTTCAAAGTTGTTGTGGTGCACTGGAGTGTGCCACATAGAAACACACTTTGGCCAAATGTCCTGTTTAGAGGATTCTGTTTCTCATCTCTGATAATCAGCCAGGTTGGGGTAGGGGAAGGAGCTGTAGCACTAAGCCCTCATCCCTAATCCACTCAATTCAACTGTCTCCAGATCATGTCGCACGAGCTCTTCTCCAGATTTAGTCTACGGCTCTTTGGAAGATGATACACTGGTATTCTGCTCTGTGTGGAAGCGATTCCCTCTGCTGCTCCTGATTAGAAGAACACTTGTACGCCCTCTGCAGGAAGAGGTGGTATTTACTGTGATGAGCCAAGGAACAAAAGAGGAAGGACATTCTGTTCAAAAGAAAATTGGATCCTGTGGGGCTCTCATTTGTGAAAACACCCACATACTGTGACCTCAACTTGTACATCATAAAACTGCAGAGTCTGGAGAAATCCGAGATCCACAGAGCACTTTTTAGACATTTAGGTTCTCAGACATCAGGAAAGAACCACAATGAAAAAGACTACTCACCATAATTCAGGAAGTGTAGATTGACCTAGGATCTTGGAACATGAATCCTTTCTTATGGAAAAGCTGCTGAGAACACCAGATATAGTGATGGGAAGAGAACTTGAAGAACTTCAGTGCCCTGAGAAGGAAGTGTGCCCCACTGGATCACACCTCACAAAAGACAAGCAGTGCCATGTCCCTGTAGTGTGATTGCATTTGGGAAGTGGCCCTCAGGTGTCCTTTCCCAATGGGTATCAACACTAGTAGGCTCTCTCTCCTTGTTTGTTTAAGGAAAGTTTATCCAACCTGGGCATTTTGCCAGATTGGACAGTTCAACAAACCTCGTGGAAAGAGAAGTATGTCTGATGAAACTATTTGGCTAAAATATACTGAAGTGAAATATAGCTCATGTATACTTTATTTTTATAGAGGTCTTTCTGGACATCCACAAGTGCTGGTTTTTCATCAAAACTTAACAGTGTTGCTGGGAACTAGTTGGTCGTAGCAGCAGCAGTCTTAGTGAAGGGGGTATTAGCTTCTGTAAACCAGTGGACTGGGCTAATGGAGGTAGTTCATGGGGAGGCCCACCATGCCTCTGACACTGGATAGTTCTCTCCCCTCACATCTTTGTGGAAAAGCAGGTATGCAGATGTTTTCTTGTCCGCATTTGCCCTTAGTCTTTCATTTTGATATTTCTATCCGGCCCTTTTCCAGTCATTCCCTACTTGCTTCAGCCACTTCTGAAATTAACTGCTACTAAGTAGCTGCAACCAGTTTACCCTGTGCCTGGTGCTCCATTTAAACATGGATCCCACACACCCTTCTGAGCATCCAGAGTTCCACAGGACCTGGAGTGAGCTTGAAGAACAGCTCACCTGGACGCTACACTGTGGCGGTGACTTACACTGTTTCCAGGAATTCCTCTACTCATCCCATGTTTTTCTAAGTCTCTGGTGGAAAAGTCTCTGGCATTTGTTCTAGTGGAATAGATTCATTACCCACTTTCAAAAGGTGCGATAATCGGAATGAAGGGAGTGCCATGACCTTCAGAGATAGTGGAGCACCAGCTGAGTCCCTCAGGTGGTGGGCTCCCCTGTTTCTTCTCTCTTTTGGATATGGACAATACCTGGAGGCCAGAAAGGCCTTGTTTTGGGGAGCAGATAGTAGAGGTCCAAGCATCTCTATTAACCTTAGAGTACCTCCTAAATATTATGGCCTAGAGCCTCATTACAGCTTCCTCTCATCCTGGCCGTGGTCCTGGGCTAATTCATGATCTTCTCAAATCTGCGTTCCTTCCTCACACAACTGGTATTCAGCTGCTCTTCTCTGCCTTTTCTGGTGTCCTCCAGTTCACTTCTTTCTTGCCTGGGGATGTGGTAGGAACTTGAATTACTGCCTAGCAAAACCCGAGTTGTGTGTTCAAACGCACCCCATCCCCAGCCTCCCTCGCCCTGCCCTTAACTGCATCTCCTCTCCTGTCTGGATGCTCCCACCCAAAGGAGGTGCTCCTTGATAGTTTGAGGCAGAATTTATTTATAGTATATGAAAATGTTAGAGTTTTGAAGTCTAATGTTAAATATGGTATTAGTTACATCCTTGTTTTAAAAACCTTAATACTTTATCCAAAATGCAAAACTATTAGAAGGAGCATAATTGTGTGAACCTTTGTTCTCTACGTATTCTTGCAAGAACTATCACAGTGCACTTGATGATAGAGCTTGATTAATGTTTTCATGGCACCAGTGTCTTCCCTAGGGAGAAGGTCTTTTCTTTGTAAATGTCACTGAATCCATGTTCTCTTTATTGAACTTGTTTCTCATTTGCTTTGAACTATTCTCAGAGACCTGGCTGACCAGTTTCTGTCCCTAGGAAGTTCAGGAGGCTGAGTAGTTCATGTTCCAGGTCCCTACCAGCTGTTGAGCATGTCTCTTTTTTCAAGGCTGTGTATACAGACCTCACATTCCCACATTCACCCCCTCTGAGTGGTTTCCATTACTCTATTTTTAAGTCCAGGAAACTGAGTCTTACAGTCTTAGAAAATAAGTAGCCAGAAGTCTCTCAACAAATAATGGTGGTGCTGGTTCCACTCCAAGGTCTTTGACTCCAAAGCTAGCTTCTTCTCAGTTTTTTGATTGAGGGAAAAAAAATCAAGCTAAAGAAAATTAGAGATAACAATAAAAAACTCCACATACCATTTTCTAGAATTAAAAAATGCTGACATTTTGACATGTTTTTGTTTCTGTTTTTTAAAATAAAAGGAAACATTGCAGATAAAGAACAGGTTCTTCTTCTTTTTTTAATTCCATCCAATTCTACCCCTTTTCCCACTTCTACCCTTCCTTCTCCTTCAGAGGCAATTTGGTGTCTATCCAGGCCATGAATCCATACTTTTAGTACAGAGATATGTGTTTATTATTAGTATATGGCTTATTTTGTGTTGAAAATTTTTTGCATAGATTTTAATCTATACTGTAGAAAATAAATCATATTATACACATTTTGCAACTTACTCTGTATTTGTGTGTGTGTGTGTGTGTGTGTGTGTGTGTGTGTGTGTAGTACTGAGGATTGAACCCTGGGGTGCTCTACCATCGAGCTACATCTTCAGCCCTTTTAAAAATTTTGAGACAAGTTCTCACTAAGTTGTTGAGGTTTGCCTTTAAGTTGTGATCCTCCTGCCTTAGCCACCTGAGTTGCTGAGATTACAGGTGTGTGCATGGTACCCAGCTGCAAATTACTCTTTTTTTCTTGTTTTGTTTTTGATGTTATTACATATACATTTAAATTATTTATTTCATTGGCTGCCTAATATATTTTTATCTGAATGTATTGTAATTTGTCTAACCTGTTGATAGACATTTATTAGTTTCCCAGGTTTATTATTCAACAAACTGCATCAAACATACCTCCATCTTCTCTAACTGGGAAATACCCTTGCAGGAGGAATGGCCAGGGCGTGGGGTTGATGCAGCTTAGCTTTACTGGATACTGCTCATGTGCTTTCCAAAGCATTCCTACATTACGTCATATATGAGAGGGAAGAATTCTCCAAATGCTCATCACCACCTGGCACTGTGTGGACTATAATTTTGTCCAGTTATGAAATAGCATCTCATTGTTTTAATTTTAATTTGCGTCAGCCTGACTTCTACCCATTCCAGATCTCTTGACTGAGCAACTTTTCATAAGCTCCTTGACCATTCAGGTGTCTTCCTTCATGTATATGGGTGATAATACATCCTCTGTTCATGTTTATATTAGGTTTTTATCTTTTCTCCTGCTGGTTTGTATAAACTCTCCATATTATTAATATTAATCACTTATCAAAAACATTTGGGTGACCTAGTCAATGGTGCTTGTTTGTGGTGTCTCATATTGTACGACTTTTAAATCTTGGTAAAGTTATCAGTCCTTTTGTGCTCTGCTGTACATCTTGTTTGTTGTAAAGATATTTTCTGTAACTGTTTTGAAGTTTTGTTTTTCTTCTTTAGGTCTTTAATTATGCCCCATGTGCCCATCCCTTCCGTCCTTTCCCTACTCCATTTTTTCATGTAGCACTTATTGCCTGCTAATGCACTTTGTACTTCTCCTGTCAGTTTTACTTATTTATTTTGTTGTTTTCTCATTGCTAGAATGTAAGCTCTATGCAGGCAGGGACTTTTGTCTGTTGTGCTCATGGCTGTATCCCTGATACTTGGCATGGTCACTGCCCTGTAGGAGGTGTTCAATAAATATTTATTTGATAAAGAATAATCCATGTGGGATTTATTTTTTTGCATATGGTATGACTAAGGCATCTTTTTATTTCGCTCATGAAAGCTTGTTTCTTAAAACCATTTTTTTTAATGTCACCTTTGTAAAATTGTACTTCTTTGCCCTGTGCCACTGTCTTTGAATACTTCTGTCCTCCTGCCCCTCTGCTGAAGTCTAAAGGAAAACCCAGGCCTTTGCTTAGTGGGAGTGGGATTGAGGCAGAGCCAGGAATAGCACACAGGGAGCTCTCCTCTGATGGGACAGTTAGTAAACATGGAAGAAGTACCTTTTGTGAACTGAGTCCAGAAATAGACATGCGTTCCTGCTCTCAGAGGACTTTCTGGCTGACATTTCAACTCCTCAGGTCTGAGACAGAATAAGTGATACGTCCAGTTGTGAGCTTTGTGTACTGGGAACACAGAAGCAGGACCGCATAGTGGTTAAGTTTGAAGGTCCTAAGTAAATGAAATCTGGCTTTGCATCCTGCCTCTGCTCCTGATCAGGCTTTGTATCTTGAACAAATGACTTATCCTTTCCAAGATTCTGATTCCTAATCAATAAAATAAGAATAATCATCATAGGACTTCCTCCACGGATGATTATAAGGTGGCTGTAAGGGCCACTGAGAGCATGCATGCCAAGTGCTAATAGCACAGTGCCTATAAATCAGTACTAAATTTGGTGTGGGCGGAGAGACTTCAGGGAGGAGGTGGTGTTGGACTGGGTCTTGCAGGATAGCTTGAATTTTTTGAGGCAGGAATTGAATGAGTGGGAAGGGTTATACCAGACAAGATATAGAATAAATAAAAACAAAAACATGGAGGCCAGAAAGCATAGGGTGAGTCCAGGGAACACTGATCTAGTTTGACTGGATTAGAGGAGAGATTGCTAAATGAAGAGGCTGGAAATGTAGGTTGAGAGTAGTCGTGGTAGGTGGTCAACACCAAGCCAAGAAAAATCGTCTTTATTACTTTGCTCATAATTCCTCAGTGGCTCCCTATTTCCTGATCATATCTGAGTCTCTGATTGAGGTTTTTGGCAGTGGGTGCTGGACAAATAGGAGGGGAAAGGGCAGGAAGGGCAGCTGGGAGGGAGGCTGGGCTAGTGCTAGGGAGGGCTGATGTCCAAGGGTACTTGAACTTCATTTGCGAACATTTTTGAAAATACCATTTGTTTAGCACCAGGTGTGAATATATGTATATATTCATTACATTATTCTGAAATAGTTCTCTCCCTGGATATTGCTATGATGCATCTGGTATTTTGTCTCTGAAACTGCATTCATCAGAGAAAGCACAGGGATAAATCAGCTGCTTCCCCACTTCTCCATTCCACCTGCCTCCTCTAAAGTCACAGGGAAATGAACAGCCTGAAGAATGAGGGTCCTTGCAGGTTTTTTGTTAAAGAGCTCATGCCAACCTTCTTCCCATCCTCTCCTCACTTTTAGGGCAGCAATGCAGTGCTAGTTTGTTGCCTCAGGAAGGATGGGGGCAGACAAACCTCTGACCAGCAGGAAGGTGTGAATAAAAGAGCCTGGGCCTCTCCCAATAGAGAGAGTCTTTCTTGAGTTGAGGTCTTGGCCCCACCAACGTCTAGGTGCTTGTTGAGGGGATGAACAAATGGTGAATCTCTTGGATCCTCGTTGAGTGAGTATAACCACCTGAGTTCGTTTCTCAGCATCGAGGGCTAACCCTGCAAAGGCCAGGTACCCAGTGCACATCCTTCCTGCCTTCTTGGGAAGCCAGTTTATCCACCCTTACTTGACATTTTTATAGCCAAGTCATTTTTAGGCACCCTGGAGGATCAGTTGCTCTCCTTAAAGAGAAGTTAGGTTATCTTTAATAAAAGATAGAAATCATACCAAATTAGATTATTTTACCTCAGAAGGCAGTTTCAATGGATTCTTTTGAATAGCATAGTTCTATTATTATATATTACTTCAAACTTAATAGAAAAAAATTGATTAAAATATGTGCCTTGTTCATATGTAGCCTGGCTGAATGCCACAAGGCACATTAATTGAAAATGAATTTCCACAAACCCAATCAAGCATCATGAAGATGAAAAATGTACCTTTTCCCCTCCGTTCCTTCATTGATTTTTCATTTTGCCCACTCAGAGCTTCATTTAGCAATTCTTCAGCTGAATTTTGTTGTGGCCTTAATTCATTCCCTTCACTCCCTCCCCACAAATGAGATAATGTTCCATTTTCCTTCCCCTTATTAAACTGTTCTTTCATGCTGCATTAAGGCAGGGCAGATTCTGATCTTGTCATATTTCTCTATGTATTATTTTTTTAATAAAAGAGTCTAAGCTTTATTATTTTTATTCTTGAATTTTGTGATGGCTTTTATCAAGGAGAATGTACTTTAAAAATACAATAGCTATGAAATTACAGCATTAAAGACTTTCAAAGTAGAATTAAAGGAAGCTATAGCAAAAAAATAAAATCATTTTCAGAGAAAGAATGTAAAATATCAATTTTTTTTTCTCTCTCTCCCTCCCTCTCTCCCTCTCTCCAATGCAATATATAGGGATCAAACATGATTCCTGTTTTGTTGAGGGAAATGGAGACGACTGTCTGCCAGAGTGATCAAGAGTGATCAAGATTTGGGTTAAAACAAGGCCCTGTCAGGACAAGAGGAAACCAAGGGAGCATCTGGTAGAAGCCTGGCTGAGCTCTAGAAAGTTCTTGCCTGTCGTGTTCCATCCCTGCCTAGTCAGATCACTGGTTTACTGGATCTGTAGGGGTTTTGAAAACAATAATGGGGAATTTTGAACTATTTCCTTGGGAAATTTTAAAAATTTCAAATAACATAGCAACATAACTTTCCCCAGAAAAGGCTATTGGAACTCAAAATAAAGCATCATTTTGCTTAATTATGACCTAGAATTCATAATCTAAATGATCTCATTTTGTTTAGTAACATTAATTGGTAGTTACACATCATTAATAAATATTTCAATGGAAAAATTAATTATTTATTTATGAATGCAGTTCAAACTAGGAAGTCTTTGTAAATGAGGGTCCACAGGAAGGAGTAACAAAGCAGGGGTGTTGGTGACAGAGGTTGGGACACTTTGTTCATTAATGTGTGGTGGAGTTTTGTGGTGTGGGTGCACATAATATGCACAAAGCCCCCAAACCCAGACTTGAATAAATGTGCCTGTGGGCCTCAACTGGCTATTCCTAAAATTAAAGTGAACACATAATAAACTTCAAAGAAAATAATAATGTCATAAATGGTCTGGATTTAAAAAATCTAGTTCTCTTTCCCTTACAGGATCTTAAACAGTTGGATTAAATGTGACTCTCAGTTTTGTCTTGTTTTGTTTTAGTTTTAAGGAGTTTATGTGAGAAATCAGCAGATCATTAACCAGGCACCACCAGATGGAAAGTGACTGGGGCTTCAACCAAGGGGTGTGAGGAAAACGTTTGATTGGTTAAAGTAGAAAGCCCCTCATTGAAGTTAGTCTGCAGTTTCTGATTGGCGAAGTTCCTAGCTACAGATTAATTGGTGGCTTCTGATGGGTAGAGTTCTTAGTCTTAGGTTAGTTGTCAGTTTCTGATTGGTTAAGCTTGAGCTTCATTTTCCTGACCTATGACGATACATACTGGTTTCGTTTGGTTTGCTTGGTAGGCACCCCTGGACCTAGAGCTCTAATTATTGTAATAACCCCCCGCTTTTGTTCAGTCTCTCATTTATGAGAGTTTGACCCAAACTTGGGTGTGATGCTCTTTGTCACCATCGTGGCTAGTTTGTGTCAGTGTGAAACTTGTGTGACTATCCATTTTAATGTGCCTTCTAGTATTAGTGAAATAAGGAGTAGAGTTGTTGCACACTCCGCACTCCTAGTGTGTGACAATCTAATGTGCACCTCCCGTATGCTGTTTCAGCCGGTTTCCTATTTTACATGAGGCATTTCCTATGTATATTATTATTTCCCAGCTGAGAAACACCCAAAGAACAATATCTTGACAAACAATTGTTGTCTAGTATTTAATGATTATTTGTTACTGTATTTTTTTCATTAATGTCTCTTCATAGTCCCCAAGTTCAACACTGAGTCATGTTTTCTGAGTCTTAACACTGTTGGACACTGGTCACATAATTCTAACTACACAACTTTATAATTTCCAACATCTAATAGAAGTGGCCCATGTTCTACCTGCTACTAATGGGGGAAAAAAAACTTCTCAGGAAGCTGAGAAATCTTACAACTTCCAGGGTTGAGCTGAATTCAAAACAGAACCTTCCTAATTTGTATACAATTTCATTTTGGTCTTGTTAACAGAAGCTCTTTTTTGAAATGGATTGAGAGAAATTCTTTTACTCTAGCAGTCTCTGTTTCCAAAGCAGTTTATAAAAAATTGTGGGTTGATAAGGGTGATTTCATCTCCGAGAAGTGATCTTCTGTATAAGATAATTGATTCACCATTCATTTGTTCTCTGTGGGTTTGGGTCTTTGCAAGGCAGAGATGGAAACAAAGGATAACAATAACATTGACATGTCCTAATGGGTTTGTTCAGAGGATTGTAGCATCACAGAGGAGGGACATGGAGTTGGGATGTGCTGTCCTGGGAGATGACAGTGAGTTGATCATGACAACACGAATTACCCGTGTGGAGAAGTGATGGAGGGTGGGAGGGCATTCCTGATGGAGGCACCAGCTTTGTGCAGAGGCCTGCAGGCAGGAGTGTAGTATGTTAACCAAGTGCTGAGGGGGTGCAGCAGCTTCCATGTAGGTTCACTGAGGGATGAGTTGGGCATGAAATGATACTGGGACAAGAATGGGATCCCAGCAGAAGGGCCTCATGTGTTATACTAGGGATTTGGAACATTAGGAGCTTAGTATGGCCCTTAAGGAGGAGACTGAGATATCTAGCTTCTCTGGGGCCAGGGCCTAGGTGTTTTATCAGTTCCCATAGATGGGTGGCAATGCTTAAGGGTGACCACTTAGCTCAAACCCCATAGGTAGATAACTCAATTATAGCTAAAAGGAGAAAAGCCTCCATCAGTTTTAAGAAGCTAGAACTTTTACTTCCCCTTTCATTTCAAATATCAAACCAGCCTGAAGTCTTAGAGATTCAGCAATCAGCCTGGTTACATGAGGTTACAAGTCATATTCAGTTTGAGCTACAAAGAAACATGATAATTGAGATGAAGATTAGAAGAAATTTTGTTAACATCATTTAAAAGGTTCCATCAAGATGTATTTCCCCCTTGCTCTATTAAGGGAGTCTAATAATAGATTGTTTTTGATATTTAGGTTTAGTCATTGCAACAAGATAGGTGTCCTCATAGAAATGGTTTAGGCAAAGTCTGGAGATACGTACTTCTGACTTCTCAGTTTTAATACTGACTTGAGCCTGATGACCTGGGTCCTTTGCCACCACTTGGTGACAGCTAACCCTAAATGCAGCTTTGTGAGGAGTCGGTAAACCTGAAGGTCAAATTGTAGACTGAAATGGATCAAGGAGTAGGAGCAGATATAACTAATAGATTTCCTTTGCATACTGACAGCATGGTACCCTGGGTTTTGGGGTAGTCTCTGATTTGGGGGGTGCTTTGGAAACATGTGGTTAGCAAGGCCATCTTGGTTCAACAGAGTCGATTCCAGACTATTTTGACCCTGAAGTTGGATTATTTGAGGATAGACAGATGGGTTCATTGATTTATTCTTATCAGGGAATTTAAAAATTTTTAAGATCTTTACTTTTAGAAAGTCTAGTGAAGGAGAAAAACCAGTAATCATGTAATAGTAGCTAACTATGAAGGCTTCTCATGTACAAAAATGCTACGAGACAGTATTTTAAGATTTTTAAAAAGTGGTTAGAAATAGTACCATTTTCCATACCAACATGTGATTTAGAGATTCTGAAGAAAGAACCAAGGACTTTAAGGTCAGATATTACTACCACACTATAAAACCCAGGAGCACGTGAGTGTGCTCTTTTAGAGAATGGGGCCTCACTTGGGATAAGGTATGGGATGTGCTCCAGGGCAGATTGCAGGGGAGTCCAAGGCGGGATGTAAAGTAGGTACCCTC